TTAACATAAATGCGCTTGCGATCATCCCGTGGTAACAAATAAAACGACCAAATATACTGAAATATAATTGAAAAACAAACGAAACATTGCACACCGATAGTTGCGTGAATTACTGCACGTACTCCAATTGTAAATCTTACGTGAATTACTGCACGTACTTCAATTGTAAATTTAATTGTAAATTATTTATTAAATTACTTATAATTGAAGAATAATAAAAATTCCATTCAAAAGTATTACAAAATGTGATATAAGCGCCAAATAATCCCATAGAAAATCATCGATTGGTAAGTTTCAGTGCAATTCTGCACGTATAATAGCATAGTCACGTATATTTACGTCGACGTTGACTGACGTTGACTAAAAGATAGTGCTGAATTTGACATTTATCGTCTTTTCACCGCGGTAATTTAGAATTCAATATGGGAGTTTATTTGTAATAAATTATCAAAACTAAGTTGGAATTATAATTTTATGCTCTTAATTAAATTTATTCACAGTTGTTGATGCTCTTTGTTAGTAATGGCTTTTTCACAGCAATTACGGAGAATTAATGAATTGATAAAATAATGTGAAAAATATAAATTCTAGATGTGATAAACTTGAGATGAACAACTTGAGATGATATACACTTCTTTAGAGATTCAAGTATCCCGCGAGAAGGAGTAAATCAACGCCGGAAATTTCATTCAACGTAGTGTTAAAGATAACAATATATATTTGGATAATAATGAAATGATAGACAAAACAGCAAACAGTTTTATATATCATTGATGAAATTAAATTTGGAAGATTATTAATGTATCTGTGTCGGAGCCTGACTCAATGTATCTGTGTCGGAGATTTATGTGAAGCTCACCGTAGAATATAGCTCTTCGCTAATATTCTTATCACATAATTTCTGCATATTCCTATCACACGAATTGACCATATAACCATAATTCTTTCACCATCGCCAACTTTTTGAACTCGTCAATAGCCACTGAGAAATCAGTATGAGTAACAGGATTTAAAATACGCCTGACAAATAGCGTCAAAATCTTGTCGCACCTCTCTGCAATAGGTTGTTAAGCAAAAAGGCGAGAATGCTCACATTTGATGATGCATAGCGACACGGACACGGACACGACATTTCATACTGTTAGATTGAATTATATATCCATTATTTCCTTTACCTTCAGTGTTTCCTCTTTGATAGCCGTGATCGCACGTTGAATACCTGGCGGTCGAACTTGTTTTATTTCATTTATTGAAATATCGTTGGGTAGCAAGCCTTGGAGCAGTATTTCTGGTGGTTGTAGAAGTAATACCGTAATATCTCTTAGTTGTATATTTGACCATTCCGATAGATGATAATCAGCGCCATATATCCCACAGATAAACGGTTGGTATATTTCTTGTGGGAGGTATCGTCCACAATTAGTGATATAAGCTGAAATGGATTTGATTAAGACAAACAGACTGTTCAAAAGGTTAAATAGATAATGGGAATCCATGGATGAGATTCCTCGGTGATATGCGGCGCAAAATACTTAATCTTTATGAACATTGGATACGCAGCGTAAAATGCTCGATCTTTATGAAATTGCGTAGCTCAAAGATTGCTCATCAATACTAACTAATGCTTTCAACTAATTTAGAAACAAATGCTATTCGAGCGATGATAGCTGAACGTTATGAAACACGTCCACCTAGGCGGAAGACGCACCGTTCATGACCAAATATTCTATACGCTGTAATCGATTGGTTAATTGAGTTGCGAATATTAGCTGCTGTAAAGTAGGTTCTGTCAAAAGTATACTCTGCTGTGACATCTAGTTTATTCCTTGTTCCGTCATCTGAAAATGTCCACTTTTTAATGTTTTTTTATCTGTCATAAATCTTTTTTTATGATACGAAGTTTGCAAAATTCGAATTTGAGATTTGAATCAAAATGAATCAAATATTAGTAAAGATGAAATCAAATATTCCTTCTTTTAACTCCTTACTTCTCTATAAGTAACCCAAAATAAGATCAAGTAGTCAGTCTATTATATTTATATATATATATATATATAGATAATTTAAATTCATTTAGTAAATTCCTTTTTGTTTCTCAAATTCATTTAATATTTCTGAAGACGATTCACTCATCCAAAGTTGGTTACACGTTCATCTTAAATTCATCAACATCTTTTAAATTATCTTAATTTTTCAAAAATCTCATTCATATACACTGATTAACAACTAAATTGAAAGAATATATACAAGAAAAATGAAGTCGAAAAAGCTTTCTTCCTGTAAAATAATACGGATACTATCACCTTCTTCGTCCCATTGGCCTTACTAATTGTTTCGGTACATTTGTTGTTCACTTTGTCATACCAAAAGCAATCCTTCCGTGGAGGTAAAGTAAAGACGCTCCATAGGCGCTTTATTTCAACTGTAATCTACTAATGGGATCAAAAGAACTCGAAAATAAGATATAATTTCTGGGAAGGAATTTTCAGAGATGGAACAAGGCTGCAGCAGCATGAGGGTCAAAGCTGTTTGACCTATTGTCAATTTTATGCTGATCTTCACAAATCCAAAAAAGAGCTTTGTTACTAAGGAGAAATTGTGAAATGAAGACTGGTCCTACAAAGATCTTTGTTTACTTTTGGTTTTAATCAATCAATTGATCTACTCCTTAAGCAAACTTATACGATCAGGACGAATGAAGATATGGAAGCTGTAGAAACTTGGACGACATTGAACGAGTAAGGTAAGTGGAGAGATATTTACTGTTTTCAATGAATTTTCAAGAAAACAACAGTATCTATTTTAATAATAATTAAATGATAATTTTTTTCTAGCTAATATTAAAAATAGACTAATATTTTTAACAAATGATATGATATCATCTTTAATCATTGAGATGAATTTAAGACAATTGGGAAAAATTCAACAAACAACATTGAATTTTACGGAATCATTATGAATGCGTAAACATGTTAAACTACTCATACGATATCAAATATTTCTGATTGAGTTAACAACAGGAAAGATTCTTAGTTTATAACATCGCCGATAAATAATAAACGTTTTATCAGTGCTGCAATAAAAGGCAGTGAAACAAAACAACGCGAGGAAATATCGAAGGCAAGCTTACTTCCATGATGACAAAAGTATTACAGACAAACTTTCTTATACTTGGGTTTTTCAAAACACGAGAATTAGGAGGTAAATTTCCTTTGGCTAAGAGAAGGAAAAAGAAGAGACATTTTCTTTTGGAAGTTTACAAAAATTAGCAAACAAATTTACGCTATCTTTGATGGAGTTAAATACAGGAAGGATTGTAAATGCAAAAAGTTTTTGGCATTCAACCAAATACGAATAGTAAATTGAAATGAGGCGAAATATAATTTAAGCTGTTACAATATAATAATTTATAATCTCGCGAGTGAAATCATTTGTATTATTAATATATCTGTATCGGAGATTTCTTCTATTCCATCGCAGTTGTAAAGCTCACTATAGAATATAGCTCTTCGCTAATTAGCGACTCACAGATTTGATTGTGTAATACATAACAATGAACAAAAAGTTCAGAAACAATTTGAATTTGGTATAGAAGTAGATAAAAGTGAACTTGCGATGAGTTTAGAATGCGATCTCTCCTTCAATATTATCGCCGGAAAATTGAAGCTGGGATAACTTCCAGAATTGCTGTGGAAAGGTGTTCGGTAATGGAGAATACTTTCCGACTTTTCGTCTCGAAAGCTCAAAATTGATATCAAGATGATGTTGTAGAAGTGTGCAATGCAAGATGTATCGATAATACAATATTCGTTGTATTTTAACATTACTACATATTCTTATCACATGATTTAACAATGTGATTAATCATAGCTCTTAAATCATCAGCAAACTTTTTTGAACTCACCAACAGCTACTGAGAAATCAGCTAAAATAGCAGCATTGAAAATAGGCCTAATAAATGGCATCAAAATCTTGTCGCATCTTTGCAAGAGGTTGTTAAAACAAATAGGGTAAGAATGTTCAGATTTATTGACGGATAGCGACACTGGAAGCGGACACGACTACGCGTTCATACTGTTAGATTGAATTAAATAACCATTATTACTTTTACACTCTATTTTTCTTTAGCGATAGTTGTGATTGCACGTTGAATACTTGATGATCGAACTTGTTTCACTTTACCTATTGAAATATCGCCGCGTAACAAGCCTTGGAGCAGCATTTCTGGTGGTTGTAGAAGTAATGCCGTAACATCTCTTTTAGTTGTATGTTTGACCATTCCAATAGATGATAATCATCATCATACATCCCATAGTAGGTATATTTCTTGCGGGTGGTATCGTCCACAATTAATGATATAAGTTACAGTGGATTTAATTAAAACAATCAGACAATTCAAAAGGTTCAATAGATAACGGGAATCGATGGATGGGATTCGTCGGTAGTACGGCGCAAAATACTCGATTTTTACGAACGCATTGCATAGTTCGAACATTGCTCATCAATACAAGCTAATATGCTTTCAATTAATTTAGAAACGAATGCTGTTCGAGTGGTATTAGTTGAACGTTGTTAGCTGAATGAAATACGTGCGCCTACGAGGAGGAAGAAGACGAACCGTTCATAATTAAATATTCTATACGTTGTAATCGATCGGATAACTGCATTGCGAATATTAGCAACTGTAAAGTAGAATTTGTCAAAGGTATATTCTGCTGTGACATTTGGTATAATCCTTGTTCCGTCATCTGAAAATGTCCACTCTTTTAATGTTCCTTTATCTTTTATGAATCTTTTTTATGATTTAAAGTTATTCGCTTACTTCTACGGAATGAATAACTGGCACAAAGGCAGAGTTTTCTTGGGATGAAATTTGAAAGATAGAATTTCCGGGAGATGAAGCAACAGGAGTAAATTTATTCTCTGCGACTTCAGGCGCACTTTTATCATTTACGTCTAACATCGTTTCGTTATTGTTGTCGCATCTTGGTATTGTTTCTTCTAAAAAATAACATAATAATATTATCGTATCGTTTGTTTATATTCTAATATCATACACTTTTAAGAATTGAAAAATGAATAGAACTTGCCTGCTTCCCCCGTCATTTCTTCTTTCACTTCCTTCGGTCCAGGACTACCTGTAAATATATTTTTCAATTAGTAATTGATATTGGATTAAGGACGTAGATTCAATCCGAAAATTTAGTGAATCCATGAACTTACCAATTGTACTTCGCCTCTTTTTGTTTATAACTCGCAAGTAGTCTTCCTCAGTGTTGTCATGATTTTGGTGTTCTTTGTGAAAAGATGAAATTCGAAGGCATCCATTCGTTGTATCGGCATTTAAACGAAATCTGGCTTCGCAACCTAATGGAAGATAACTTTGATTTGGACGCTTACCGCCTCCTGAAAGAATGAACAATGAAATTTTTCTTTCGCTCGTATAAGAAAATTTTGAGAGTGCCTAATAGTTGATCAGATTCAGTATCGCAAAATAGTGGCGATAAATGTTTTGTTTTACTTGTATTTCAATAGCGAAATTGAGTATGAGAGATGCATTTTCACGTTTGGCAGAAATTTATGAGAGTTATCCTGAAGTAATAGTAAAGAATCTAGTCAAATTCTTTTATATTTCTATGCTAATTTATTTGAAGATATTTATTACCTTTTTGTTTTATCAAAACGAATAAAGTTGTGCCATATAATGCTACCAATAAGGCTTATAATTGATGCCTATCTTTACATTTGTCATTTCCAATGATGTCATAGATTAATTGTTAAAATATGGATTGATATACCTGTTATCTGTGTAGAAATAGGGGCAAAATATGACTTTATTAAAAGTAAATATTTGTATGCTGAATGAGAATTTTTCAATTTTATAATTAATGATTGGTACGTTTTATGAAAATGCTACGACAATGAATGATGACAGAGAACTTGGCTTTCAATTTAATATAAGTGGCATGAAAATAATCTATCAGTAGATTCTTGAGATTTCCTAGGTTCATTAGGGATTTTTTGTGTCATTAAAAAAAAGTGCATTTTTAATTGTGTGTTGTGTTGTGTTACGTTGTGGATGTGATTGCTGTCATCTATTCATTATTTTGTGGCTTCAAATAGGCTGGTTGGTTGGATCCCTTGAAATTAGCCATCCCAATACCGCCAATCTCTATAACATTAAGAGAGCAGCTGGTGAACACAATTTCTATGGTTTACAAGATTGCTCCTTCTATTTCTGCTCATAATTTAATGCTTTAAAATGGTTGAAGTGAACAACCGCAATATCATCAAAAAAAAATGTTGTTTTTTTCCCTCTCTCAAAAATGATCTCATAAATATAGTACTGTCAGGATAAGAAAGTGATAATTACCGATCTCATCATTTACTGTTTCTTTTGGTTAAATCTGTCAAAAAATTAAAAAAAAAAAAAGATTTCAACGAATTCTCTCTGAAATTCTAATTCCTTTGGGATTTCAGTTTAATTACTTAGGAGTTAAATAATCTCTCAAATATCACATTAAATTATGTATTATTTCAGATTTTAATAAGTCTTAATATTCTTTTATGCTAGAAAAGAATAATTCCAAAAATTAATTTTCCTACCTTTCAACAAAAATTAATATTTAAAATTAAAACTGTAAGGAACAACATCGGTTCATAACTGTGCTAAATGAAATTTATTATTTGCCTAGAATGATTGTTCTCACACATTTATAGCAATTGATATCAATTGCTATAAATGTGATAATGTTCCATTTTCAAAGCTATCCAGTGTGATAGTTACAGCTCAGCATTGTGAACAATAGCCTGGCAGTTGAAGCGGAAGAGCGACATACGGAATTGGCAAGCCGGCTGGTGGAAGGTTAACCCGTAAACAAATCATCCATCAACCACAACAGCTTTTCTTGGATTAATAGCCAATTCACTCCCACTCTCTACTTCCTTCTTAACTGAACAAATAAATGACATTTGAAGATTGAGGACTTTGTCAAGCATGAATAAAAGCCAAAACTGCAATAAAATTTTCCCCTCTCTCAGGCTTTTTTTTTCCTTTGGTATGTATTCTTTGATACCATACGATTAAAGGTGTCAAATATGTGTCCAATATTAAACAAAATGAAATATGAGCCAATAGAATTAAGGAATGAAAAAGATAGAATGAAAGTTGTTGAATGAGAAAAAGTTGCAATTCTCGAAAGCTCTCAACAATTATTTGACGAGTGAATTCAAAATTTGACAAAAATTAAATTCTTACTCAATGAAACATTTCAAATCTGCCAAAGAATATTTAGCATTTTTATATGATTCTATCTATCCATTCTTTAACTTCAAAATTTGCCATTTGACAATTGTAAACGCAATTGTCCGTGGCGTAGAAATTAGTGCTAACATATTAATTTCATATTATGTTCTTATCTTTTCTTCTGAAATTGAAATTTGGAAAATGAAATTCGGAGAATGTCATAGGCAGAATAACAAACAATAAGATGTACGTATATTAGCCGTTTTAGTGCAAGACATTAACATATCAAATAACGGAATATAATTAGTAGTTAATGAAAGTAATTATGAAACAATGACTAAATTCATTTCCGAAATTGCAAATCGTAGAATAACTTTCGGTTTTCTAAAATTTGGTATGGAAAATGAAAGAAAAAAGAAATCAAACGTGACCTCTTTTGCGCGGATGCCCATAATGAGCGCAGTGAAACACTATATATTTATATTTAAAGCGGTCAATTACACGTCCTTCGCCATCTCGAAGATGTTCAGAACTAGCTCTCCTGTATGGATAATTCCATACAATTTTGTAAGCTTCTAAACATTCTTCGAATTCAACAAAACTGAAAAACAACTATCATTTACAATAATTACCAGTAAAAATACCAATATTTCAGTGCTTTTGTTTAGAGTTATATCTTTAAGAGAAATATAGATAATACCTTCGAAATGTTGCACCTTCGTAAATATTTGAAGCTTTACGTTGAAGTTCTTCTTGCTCTGTTGGCGTAAATGTCGAGAATGTTCTGTTGCCATATTTTTGATTAAGTTTTGACAATTCCAATTCATTAATACGCTTTCGTTTGGCACTTGATGAAGCTGAAGTAATAGTTTCATCATACCTTTGATTCAAAATAAAAAATGATAAATGTCAATTTCCTTCGAGTAATAGAAACAAATCATCAAATCCTCACTATTTCTTGGACTTTCGACCTTCTCATCGTTTCGTTTATCGGATCTTTTTTCGCAGTGCTGTCTACTTAATATGACCTCATCACATCGCTTATTCAGTACCTCACTTTGTCCATTCTTGTTGCTTAAATCAATAGGCTCCTCTTCGTACTCATCAAAGTATTCTTGTACAGCATATCCCGTTTTACTTCCACTTTGCTTGATGTTATCATCTAAAAGTATTCTTTTGCCTGAAGAGCATATTTCTAAAGATATTTTTATTCGTCTGAAAACCGTTTCTAACAAAGGATCGGTTACTTACGAATAATATGCCTAATGAATTTTGGCTTCCGCTTATTTCGCATCGATCCATTTTCAACTGTAACTATACCAAATTCGTCATTTACTGAAAAATGTTTCAATTTACTTAGTGTTTCCTAACTTATTTATTTTACAATATT